TTTAATCTGTTATGCGTCGTTAAAATACATTTATTTTCGACATTTTTGGAAAGTATAAGATTTTAATATGTGTGTGTGTGAATTTAACTATTGAATGTTTGTCTTTCTCGCTTTACATATGTACGGCGCATATCAATCTCCGTAATAAACACGTGTAAACGGCCCACGTGTCGCGAACCGCACGAATTGCTCGTATTTATTCATGTGCGCTTAAATCAACATAAAATTCACGAATTATAATATACTGACGGATGTATACACGTGGCACGATATTACGTAAGTTTCATATATCAATGTATGACGATTCGTATAAACTCTAAACGCGAAAATACTTCAAAATCGATTATTCTTTTGATTACACTGATTACAGCATCTCCCTTGACATATCGTGTTATTTTTTTTATCTGCAGTGAGGAATTCCCGTTAACGATTATTTCTAGCGCAGACCGCCATATCTGAGGACCGCTTATTTTAATCACGTCAACCGTACTCTCGACAATCGAGAACAAGTGGCTCGCTGTCGCGTGCACCCTCATCGTACATCATCGATTATATGTGTATACGTTGGGTGATTTCGAAATTATTATGCGTATTTACGTCATATTTTTAAGACAAATTTCTCGGAAAATAATTTCTAATCTTTTTTTAACATTTTTAAGTTGAATTTTTCTTAAAAGATCGATATTTTGGGGTTTTTATAATTAATACACGTATATAATAATGCACGTTATATAAATTTGTACGGAAAACGAGGGCTCTTTATCTTGTTTTCCTAAAAGGACAAAGGTTAAAAAAAACTTTTCCTTTTTTTCGTGGAGAATGGCCATTATCGAAGTTAATACTATCGGAAGTAGCAGGTAGCAGGTGCAGGATCGTAATGCATAAGTGGGTGGCGATGGCAGGGAGGAGTTCCTTCGCGTCGTGACATCCTTTGTATTTGTGACGGGACTCAATAGGGTATCGATTACACTCTCGAGGCGAGGTCAAAGCCGGCGCAATAAACCCCAAGCGAAATTTGTATTGAGTATTGTGCCGTCGCCCGAAGCGTCTACAGAGTGTCGAAACGGTGTTGACCAATCTGTAGACACAATGCTATTTAACTGTGAAAATATTAGTACGGCGTGTTTACTTTTAATAGAATTTTTTTTCAGCCTCTTGTCGTTAGCCATTGAAACATCTGCGGAATTAAGAATCGGCGAATAAGACACAACGTCTAATCAAATTTTTCACGTCGAGAGAAAAGATCGCATCGAAACTTTCCAGGTATCTAAAAGTGAAATGCCGAGTGTCTCGCGAGCATCCTGTATTGCTGAAATTTCCATGCCGTTTACCTGAGGTGTCGACCTTTTAATTATACATGCGTGTGATAGCACTAGTAATTTCCTGTGTTTCATCTATTAATGCATAACCATATCTATTTTCGGGCAAAGTCATTCTTGACTATCACGTGAAAGACAAACCTGTCGAAATGACATCGCGAAAATCCGAATGAAGCGTATAAAAGTGCGCGCATCCGCGCGTAACAATTTAATATGCATGCAGTGATAAATGAACGATGAAACGTGCACACACACACACACACACACACTCTCTCTCTCTCTCTCTCTCTCTCTCTCTCTCTCTCCGCTGTCTCTTGACCCCGTGAAACTTGCAGAAGTCATTTCTTCGTTGCGGCTCGCTGCAGTCGAAATCAGGCGCAACGCAGACACTCGCTGCCGGTGCGGTGGCAGGTTTGAGAGTAAAAGTAGTCGACCGAGAAAGGAGATGAGATATGTAAATGAGCGCGTAGGAACTTAAGTAGCAACAGGCGATAGGTACTATCTCGATTATAGTTATCGCGGGAAGGGTAGCCACGATCTAATTAAAACGGTCATTTTCTGCACGCTTTCGTGTCGGCCGATTATGATAGCGGAATGAAGCCGTGATACTTCTCGACGATAAGATTGATGATTACTCGGAGATCAATAAATATGGTGTTTACGGAGCTACTGTATCTGTAATAAACGTTGGTTGTAAATGATCAGTAATGTTTCAATCAGTATAAGCCATTCCTATTTACATAGTAAATTTTTGATAATTATTATTAAAGGATCGCGGAAATGAGAGATTAATATAAAATGATATGAATTAACAAAGCACGAAATAATGAATGAAATTCAAGTAAATAAAATATGAATAAATTAAACGAAATAATAAAATGTCGTCCGGAATGTTTAAATATAGATGTATTTATTTATTTCGCAAATGTCTCGACATATATTTATCATTTGTACCGCGACCACTTATTGTAATTATTGTATTAACCATTCAGGTGTAGTGAAATTATTGGAAAATGCTGACTACTGATTTTATCATTGAATAATATCGCGATATTATGCTAACAGCACTTCAGTTATTTCAATTAACTTTACATCTCGTTGATGATGTTAACAAGGGTATAGATTTGCGCGAGAAAACATTGACCGGCACGCGCGCAATGTAGTCTTTCGTTTATATTTTTTTACGACCCATATAACTGCCCACGAAACGCAAGCGTGACATTATCGCGACTGATGTATTTAACACTGTTGATGAATATTGAATTCGAGTGCGTCATGATTAAGCGGCGAGCATTGACATTAACATATGTGCGATTAATTGCATCGATCAACAGTATAACAGTTTATCGGCACGATTTTTCGATACGTTTTTTTCGACTTCAGGAAAGTGGAAAGTAGGACATGATCGAACATTCTTTCTTCTATCAGAAATCCGTCCGATAAATAGCAAAACAAAAAACAATACACGAAACAATACTAATTCTTTATCGTGCTTTTAACCTCCTAAAATCCGAATGATGTTGTTAGTAATTTTTATTATATTATGTTGCGCAAGAATAATAAATAACATATTTTCTATCATATGAAGATTTCAGTAACATAAGCTCGATATAATAATTTTTTATAACAATATTAACAAATTAAAAGAATTAGAGAATGAAATTCTACGGTGAAATAAATCCGTCAAGTAGGAGGTATTGTATAAAAACTGTTAAACGAATTATCGCTCTGGTATTTAATTAAAGAGATATAACTACTTTTCATGGTTATATAGATAGGATTCTGTTTTTACTTCGAACTGTTATCACCCGAAGGTTTAGTGTTTCTCCGATTTCATATTTCTTATCGTTTCCGAGTCATCTAAATAATGACGTATGATATCAAACGTCATAGAAGATAAACATCTCTCAACTATGGACCTTGATGGCGTAACAATATAATTTTCTTTCTAACGTTACATTAATAAATTCCTGAATTTCGTTTTTACGGTGACGTTTCATGTCGTTTGTCAAATCATCAGGTATCGGTCTTCCGCCGACGTTAAGTTGAATCCAGTACGTTGCGCTGATTTCGCTGTTTCGAGCATCGCGTTGTTTACGCGTAGATGCTCAGCACCGATTTCAAGCTCGGTCAAAGGGGGTCGTCTGTTACCCGGGATCGTATCTCTGTGGCAGTGCGTATATGTGGCGACCCACGCTGGCGCCGTCGCAGCCACAGTCGCCGTCGCCGCCGCCGCAGCCTTCTGCCTCGCACTCTCGCGTTTCTATTCTCTCTCTCTCTCGATCGAGATCGCTATACCTTCGGCGCGCGTAGCCTATATAGTAAAAATGCCCAGACTATCACTCAGCATCTTGATATCACCATAGCATCTACACGGAAATAGTTTAGTCCTAGTTGTGAGAAAGTGCACATCTCCAGAATGAACTTCCAGTCGACACACATTTTTGATAACAAAAAAAAAAGAGTGAACACTTCTATATCATAATCGAAGACTTCATCGTCTGACGTAAGCTGTTTGATGACAATCGTACCGTGAAAGCGTGTGCTATATAAATGCGATTTCGATCCAATTCGTATAACGTTACGTTAGAATCGTCATTAAACTACATGTATATTAGATCTGTTTTAATTCGAACCGAGCCAGAATGTTGAGGATGTCTCTAATGAATGAATATCAAAGGTATTTAGTATTCAAGTGTCGCATTTGTTCTGCCTCGCTTCTAGAGAAATAGGATGCAAACGTGAGAGTGCAACGAGCGTAGCTAATAAGAGCAATTTTCCCGCGTTTGTGTACTTCCATTCCATTTCATGTATCTGTTCATTTACGGCGCGAATATCTGCTGGCCTAATCTTTATACCTATATAAAAATCCATTATGATCATCGCTTGTAGAGCAATTCCCTTTTCGTCCTGATCGACCAATCACGACCTCTCCATTCCACGTTGTTGGTGCCACTCATAACGATAATTCATAACGATTATCGGTTCAAAGGAAGTATATCGATCGGCACGCATTTAGACAATCGACACAATGATTTAAGATGCATTTGAGAGGTTATCTTTGATGTTACTTTCGGCAGAATACCGCTTTAGTAGATCTGACCGCGTATTAAAATGTCAAAGCATGTGCCGATTTAAGGCACATCGTCGATCGACGAAACCAATTTGGAGCACGCCGGTTAGAAATATAAATGGACTTGAATATTGTACGGGGATTATGATCTTCTCATAATTTGGAGCCTTATTTTCTAATTGGAAGCGCTTAAAGTATTTCGAGCGATGACACGAGAATATATATATGAAAGCGAAGGCTTTTAAAGTATGAAATCTAGGACAATTATATTAATGAGAAAATTATAATTGTTTCAGACTGAAGTAGGTTAATGTATTTAAAATGTAGAATAATGCTTTATTTTAAACCGCTGTGCATAGATAAATAATGATTATTAATGCAAATTATTTATTCGAGTTATTAAATTTGCCACTCTTTACGGCTTAACAGTTACATCAACTATGTCTAGGTATATTAAACTTGAGTATGTTAAAGATATAGGAAAGTTAGATTAAACTGAAGTTGAAATAACTCAGAGCAATCATAGAGTGATCACATTCGCTTCAATCATCCCTTTCGTGTCATCCCTCAATTTAAGTCTGTGAACGCGCGCTACAAACTAAATTCACCTTTCATGAAAGCTGAAAGCTCGAACGTACTTTCCACCACGTGATCGGTCATTTTCTTCTTATAGACCACCGGCACTTCGCCGGTTCCTTCCTCGATTCACGCACCCTCACGCACAAATACACTTTTTCCTTTTCTTCCCTTCGTAGTACAGATCCACAAATCTCGACACGTACAAAACAAAGGCTGGTTGGATCCTGGTAATCCCACAAAATTTCGTTCCAACGAATACGGTGTTTAAGGAAGTTTTTCACGAGTCTATGTTTAAGCAATGAACTCAATATGAGTTGACACACGTCCTGTACCGAACGCAGTCGACAGCGAACTGGTTCGCCTCGTGTACTCTCGACTCTGTTTCATGCTCTTACGTGTGCGAGGGAGGCTCGACTGGTCCGTGCTTCATTCTACCACCACCACCATCACCACCACCACCACCATCGCCGCCACTAGTAACGTCGTCGCGCTACCACCACCACTCCGGCAAATTACCACCACCACTACACAATCGCTATCAGCAGCAGCAATACTAGTAGTACTACTGAACTACTACCGCCTGTATTACCACCACTATCAGCAACGACTGACGTCGCCGCGAATACAGTCTTCCTCTCACCCGTAAAGCTTTGTCGACTCGAAACGTGGTATACGAGAATATTGCAATGGTGGGAGACGCCGGAAAAGATCTCGTGACAGAGAACGGTACGGCGTTGGCGTTTGGCGTTGGCGTCAGTGATAGTAACAGTAGTGTAGTATGTGTTACTCCACTTTGACGCTGGGCGCGTTGCGGTTTATGACAATAACAGTAAGAGTATTGGACTGTGTGCCTAGTAGTTTACTTGATGGCTTGTGAATGGCTGATAATACGATATACGTTATGCTTGATTCCTAACGATGTTAAGACGTAATGGTTTTAACGATTCTAAATGACTCCTATTGATTCTTGATCACTCATTGATTCTCAATGCGACGTTGGTGTCTAATATTGGCGCCGCGCTGATGGCATGGTGATGTCTCGCCGTCCACTATAGTATTGGTAACCACCGAGAGATGTTAGACGACGCAGCGCGTTGGCGTCGGTGGTGGCGATGGCTACAGGGAAGAGGAGGAGGAGGAGGAAGAGAAGTGCACGCATTGTTGGCGGCGGGAAACAGCGGGGGCCGACAGAGCGGCGCCAGCAGGCTGAGAGAGTTTAGCTCTCCGTTTCTCTGTACCACTCGCTTGTTCTTTCTCTTTCTCCTTGCGCCTGTCCCCTCGCTTGTTCTCCGCTGACCCTATGGTTCTCTCCTCTCTACATTCGTCTCTCTTTCGTCGTGCCTTATAGCCGCTCTGCGCCCACCCACCAGTGGTAGCGCTCTCAAACGTGCGAGTGTACGTTTACACGTATGCGTGCGGAGATGCCGCAGGCGGCCAAGAATCGCGCGAGTCTATGGGACTCCCTGACCACCGCAGGAGTCTTTCCCCAGGTTTCGTGGCGGAGGCCGTTTATACCAGCGTTGATCTCCGGGAGATTCGACCTCCGAATTTTTGTTTCTTTTACCGCCCCCTCGCTTTCGACCATCCTTGCCCTTTGCGCTTTTTTTCCTCGTGTCGTCCGCTAATCATGGCGACTCTCCTGTCCTGTTTGCCGGGCACGAGCAGACTTGGCGCAACTTTTGGTTCCTGTCCTCTCGAAAGAGTGCTTTCGCCAAAACCATGGGAAACACCCGCGGGCGTCTTGCGCACGGGCGGATATTAGGGGTATTTCTCCTCGGGGGCGGTGGCGAAGCAACCATGCCCGCTATAATGTTCACCGAGCTCATCACCGTTCCGCCAAACCGTAAACACTTACCCATTCCGTGCAAACGCAATGATCATTTTTATCATGATAAAGTAATTGCGGTAAAATCGAGTCGTAAAAATAGACTATGCATATACTAATAAATAAATAGTTATCGGTGAACGAATTTATTTATTTAGAAATGCAGTTAGCCAATATTTTTGTAGTTTATAATGTATACGTAAGATATTTTAAATTTTATGTAAAACTTATCGATATGATAAATAGTAAAGACCGTAACAAGAAGTAGAAAAAAACATTAAATAAAAAGAGAAAAAAATCACAATAAAAAGATACAATATAAAAACATAATGTGATATGAAGACAAATTGTGATTGTATCTTTTAATGTATGTCTTATCAAAAGAATACAAACAATTTCTGTACATATATTATATTTTCCAGTATTTCTTTTAATTGTTAAATGTTTACAAATTAAAATAATTATTGTCGTTCATGTGAGCGTTATAGATATCTATTTTTTTTCACATTCAGCCGAATTGCATACTGCCAACATATGTATACATTTCTTTTCATCTTTTCGATACGTGGAACCATTTTGCACAACATATGCAATTAATTTCCACGCCTATTCAGGATTCTATGGGTCAAACAGCGATCTGAGACAATAGTCATGCAGTCTTTCCATTATTTGGCCGATTTTACGAGTCTGAAAATATTTTGGTATGTCTATTTGATACGCGCGTCACCACGTGGTGTGGTCACCATTTGCAGACTGTATGTTCTCCATTCGAGACTTCACAAATCCATATGGCCAATTCGCTAGGATTAGTCCGCTTTGCCCTGTAAAGAATGATATTACACTGTCAATCAGTTTTATTTAATTTGTGCACAAAACAAAATTATTAAGATAAAATAAATTAATAAAAGGCTCAACAAGTATAAAAAAAATTAATTAAAAATAAGAGAAAAGAGCCAATAATTTTTTAAAAAAGATATATAAATGTAATTAACTCAAAATTATTAAGCTTCCATTTTTCTTTAGCCCATTTAATTTGCAATTTTTATAACTTTTATTGCGTCAAAAGAAGTCATTCATGATCTTTTAATTTCATTTTTTTAACGAGTCTGTCACACAAATTTAAACGCGTGTTTGCATTTTGTGGACCGCATTTTCGTGGTTGCGTTTCGTCTCGATAGAAGTCAGACTTGTCAAACCAGAAATTGGCCGCGTATTAATAAGCGTAACCAATCAAGGCCATTCGGGACTTTTATTTAATCGCATGATTATTTTCCCACGGCGCTTGTAATTGACTTTTTATTCGAATAGTCATAATACACTTAATTGACAGCTGCGAGTTCTTCTCTGATTAAATGTACAATTAAAACGAAGTAAATCGGTGTTTCGTTATTTTTCTCTCATTGATTAAATATAATGACTCAATAATACATATGTATATGTATATGTATACGAGACAATTGTTTAGATACATAAAATAAAAAATATAAGTATGAATGTGTTATACCTGTAAATTATATCAATTACAATTTATAAAAGAAAAAAGAATTTCTAAGATTTTATAATATGTTGACATTTTAATCATTTTTATATAATCATTTATCATTTATCAGTGGTCTTTACCTTGACATGCTTCAACATTCTTGACGTGTTTTCTCTTGAAAAGGGCTCGATATATAGAGAATAGAATAGAACAAATACAGTTATTTTTTAAATTAAATTTATGTTTGTATATAGAAATGATTGAGGAGAAACACACTGTTACCTTATTTATTTATATTTCTTTGTTATCCTGAGTATTGCAATGCTCAAAATTAGCGGAAAATCTGAAAGAATAAAATTAGTTACAACAGTTATAATAGAAGAATCTGAAAGATATATATATATATATGAAAAAAATACGATCATATCATCTTTAATTTAGAATTTATAGACATAATCATTGACAAACATTCTTTCTTAAGCGTGTGACGTATTTTCTTGCGAAACGATCTGCTCGGCTTTATGGTATCGTTTTTCCTTCGCACTACAGAATATTTTTGGTGGTTCAAATATCGCACTTTGCGGAATCGGAGAGGCTTCTAGACTTGTTTTCTTCTGAGTAATAACATACTGACGATATTTTGTCGGCAAAGAAATCAAGAGGAATGCACCTGCACTCCCAAAACGATACTTGGATAGCTTCTGGTGATAAGTATGATTCATCACATTCCTTTTGTCACTCCGCCTTGGTCTGAAATCTTAAGTTACGCAGACATTTTCCAATATGCACATTTTAAAACACGTGTAGAAAATATAATATTGATTACGTAATTCTCAGCTTTATAATCAATGATGTTTTGCTAGAAAATAAATCAATACAAATATCAATCGATTAACGCGAAAAAAGAATGAGTCACATTTATCAAATTTTTCAATATTAAAAAAATTGTTTAACTTTAGTTTCTGTAAAAAAAATCATAAAATTACTTTTGAGAATTTAAATATAATATTTAATAATATTTTGGAAACATTCCTGATTCCTCAAATGCCGCTATTAAAATGAAAAAACGTATGATTTATACTCTTTCTGCATTCAAAAACATAACAAATTTTATAATATTATAGATATTTTACGAGTATTTATCTTAAATTATGTTAAATAATAATTATCTTTCCTTATCTTAAATAATATAGAAAATTTATCTAAAACAATTTCGAGATCGCTGGCGTGAAAACACTAACTATTAAAATATTTCTTTTAATTATTCTTTCTACTCATCGGTTGTTGGCCATTTAAAAATCTCGTAAAAAAGCTTCTACATTCTAACAGGATGTACGGTATTTAATTTTCTTTTGTTTTAATATATTTCAAGTCAATCAACTGAATATAAAAAGGAGATTCGCGATTCAATTGCACCGAGAATTTTCAACACAAAAACTGTTGTTTTCCGGTTCTTTTATAAGAAGCGTAACCTAGTAAGCGACATTCTCGGGATTTCATTATTTCAATGAAGATTTTTTTCAATAAAGCATGTTAATCGAGATAAAATTCTCGGTGTCACCTGTTGGTTAAAGTTATTATCAGGGATTCTATCGTTATTGACTTACTTTCAAGTTATTTATCGGTGATTAAATTGTATATCTTAAAGTAAGGACAGGTGATAACGATAAAGACACTTATAAATATTTTTGTAACGTCATATATACATTTATACATAGTTTTGTGTATGTATTTTAGAGCGTTATATTTTTATTGAATGTCGAATGTATATCACGATATTTATTCTAAAATCG